AAAACAAAATAACCTTTTTTCAACTTGGGAAATATCTACACAGAACATAAAAAGGTATCTTTATTCAGAGGCATCAGATTTTTCGAAACAATAGTATTGAATGTACTCTGTGGAATAAAATATCTTTTGGAACAAGGAAAAATTGCTACCAAAATTAAAAATAGCCAAAAAGTAAACTAAAATGGAATAATTTTTATGTACGATAACTACCTAACACCAAATCATAACTTGAAGCCATAATCTATATTTTTCTTTCCGTAAAAGAGCTCATCTTCAAATATCAGTGTCCAAATCACTTAAAAATTGTTTGTCATTCTTGATTTAGAACTTTTATCAGATTAACTCTTCCTTATATAGATTTCATTAGAAAATTCAATTACACCCTATAATGACAAAGCATATAATTTGGCACCATATATATGTGTGTGTGGGTGTATATACATATATACGTATATACACACACACACTTTCTTAAATACTAATCCTTATGATCAGATCCCATTACTTTTAATAGTTTTGGGAAAACAACTGCACATTTCAAATATACTTTATTTATATGGGTCTATTACTATTTCTCACAGATGTTTTATTTCCGTCCTTTAAGAGATCTGTGTCTATCAGCTTGTAAATTTTAGAAGTTTTAGTGAGGAAGGTTAGAAAATTTCTGAAGTCAATTGACTAGATACCATTAAACACACACAAAAAAAATGACATTATGATTATACCTCCTGAATTACATTATGAATGAGATGCTTACATGTTTTCACCGCAAAATGACTGGGTGTATTTTCTCTGATGATGCAATCTGTGAAAATGTATGACAAAATCAAAATCTAACTGTGATTTTCAAAATACAGTGGGAAAGTGTATTGTATACCTCTCACATCCAACAATATTTTAAGTAAAAAGTGATGGGCACGAGCACCTCATATTCATTTTAGTTTTGATGCTTTGACAAATAAATCACTTACAGAGTCTGCTTCTTGTCACACTACAAAGTGTCACAGATAGTTCAGTATCTGAGAAACTCCAAACTATAACCAACTACTTTAACCACAGCAAATGCAACTGAAGCAGATGGCTGCCTACATATATCCTAAAACCCAGAAATCTATTCTCTTCAGAGGCAAATTTATATTTCTTAAATTTATTGACTGACTCCTTTATTAGATAAGTTTAACATTTATAGAGCCCATACCTTCTAGAAGCAAAAAATACAAAGTAACATTCAATTCACATAACACCCAAAGTGAAAAAGATCATTATAAGGCACAAGCCCACAAGCCAATTAGGAGTTTTCTTACCCAGGTGGCATGCCTGGCATAACTGGTGGCATTCCTGGCATCAGAGGAGGAACACCTGGCATCAATGGAGGTATGCCTACAAATAATTTCAACATAAAAAACCACAAATTAATATTAAATAAAGAGTAGGAAGAAAGTAATACTTCTAAACACTGACAAAAAAATCCCAAGAATTTTAAGAAATGCTGCATGTGGTTGGGTCTTATAATCCTAGCACTTTGGGAGGCTGAGGCAGGTGTTTGCTTTAGTTCAGGAGTTTGAGACCAGCCTGAGCAAGAGCGAGACACCAGCTCTTTTAAAAGAGAAAAACTAACCTAGCATTGTGGCAGGTGCCTCTAATCCCAGCTACTTGGGAGGCTGTGGCAAGAGGATCACATGAGCCTAAGAGACCGAAGTTGCTGTAAACTATGACACCAGGGTACTCTACTCAGGGCAACAGAGTGAGACTCTGTCTCCAAAAAAAAAAAGAGAGAGAGAGGAAAAAAAAGAATTTTAAGAAACTTTATAGGCTACCTGGAGGCATTCCTGGTGCTCCTGGAACTGGTGGCAGTCCTGGCTGCGCCATTGGGGGAATATAACCTTGTTGAGGTTGAACAGGCTGTGGTTGAAATGAAGTTGAGGCTGCAGAATCATCATCATCATACTCATCAGAATCATCTTGTTGCTTCTTTTTTTGACTTTCTGTCAAACAAAGTCTTAATTTTACCATAAAGTAAAATTTAAAAAACTAATCAAATTTAGGACATTAAAAGTGTGTGTGGGGGCTCAGCACTTGTGGCTCAAGTGGCTAGGGTGCCAGCCACATAACCTAAGGTGGTGGGTTCGAATTCAGCCCAGGCCTGCCAAACAACAATGAGAGCTGCAACCAAAAAACAGCCAGGTGCTGTGGTGGTGCCTGTGGTCCTGGCTACTTCGGAGGCTGACACAGGAGACTCGCTTGAGCCCATAAGTTGGAGGTTGCTGTGCGCTGTGATGCCATGGCACTCTACCCATGGGGGACAGCTTGAGGCTCTGTCTCAAAAAAAAAAAAGTGTGTGGGGAGCTCAGCAGCACCTGTGGCTCAAGCAGCTAAGGCGCCAGCCATATATACCTGAGCTGGTTAAATCCAGCCCTGGCCCGCCAGAAACAATGATGGCTGCAACCAAAAAATAGCCAGGAGTTGTGGCATGCACCTATACGCCCTGCTACTTGGTTGGTCAAGGCAGGAGTTGGAGGTAGCTGTGAGCTCTGATGCCACAGCACTCTACCCAGGGTAACAGCTTGAGGCTCTGTCTCAAAAAAAAAAAAAAAAAAAAAAAAGTGTGCATGTGTATGTATGCGCGCATGCACACATATTTCAGGACCAGGAGTAATGGCTCCCATCTATGATAGCACTATGGGAGGTCAAGGCCAAGAGGATCCCTTCAGGCCAGGAATTCAACATCAGCCTGACCAAAAGCCAACCCTGCCTGACAGCCTGACCCTGTCTCTTTAAAAAAAAAAAAAAAAAAGGCTGTGCATGATGGTGTATACCTCTAGTCCCAGCTACCTGGGGGCAGAGGCTGAAGGATTACTTGAGCCCAGCCTGACCTGTTTTTTTAAAAAAAAAAAAAAAAAAGGCTGTGCATGGTGGTGTATACCTCTAGTCCCAGCTACCTGGGATAGGCATCAGAGAATAAGACTGCTCAAGCCCAAGCAGTGACCTAACACGATGCCACTGGCACTCTATCTAGCCTGAACATACAGCAAGACTCAGTCTCAAAAAAAAAAAAAAAAATTATGTAAATATTTCAGTGAAATTAGTTCATGAAATTTTTCTTTCCAAAAATTCAATCAATACTATTGTCTACTCTTCAAATACGTTTTCACTCTATATTAAACAAGGTTAAAATCCTTTTCCTGGCCTATGAAAGCTAAAATGATTATCCTAACTAAGTCAGTGCTTTTATTTTAATAGTAGCTTTCTATTCCACCCCACAAAGTAAACTGTGACAAAGAAGTCTGACCTCTTTAACATTTTTCAACACAAAAAATTTTATAGGTGATCAATGACAGCTTCTACCATCTGAATATATACAGCATTAAATTCCAAGCCAAACAACAGCACTAAAATCAATAAATAATTGAAATTAGTAATTATACAAATTAAAAGAAGCTGTACCTTCACTTTCATAAGCCTTAACACTTGCTAATTCCATCTAGATTCAATTAGGAATAAAAATACATAGATCCAAATGCTTATTGCACATATACAAACCAAGTATATAACTTTAAACATGAGAGCCAGGGACAGGGCTCACACATATAATCCTAGCACTTCAGGAAGCTGACAGAGGTGATTTTTTGAGTTCCAGAGTTAGAGACCAGCTTGAACAAGATCAGGTTCCGTCCCTACTAAAAACAGAAAAACTAGCCAGGTAATGTGGCGAATGTCTGTAGTCCCAGAGTCTTGGGAGACTAAGGCAAGGCCCAGGAG